AAGATGAAGAAAGAATCCCGATGTTATCTTAATATACATTCATGTATGTACTCTTAATTTATCTGAGATATTGATCTACTTCTATGGTGATACTCATCAACGCCTGTTCAGCGACAGACACAGCCACATGAAAAGTGTCAGCAGACGGCATGCAAAGCCTAGCCAAACGCGCGCGATGCCGATGCATGGCAGTGACGGTTACTACATGTAGTATACTCTATGGAAAACACACACACAGTTTAAGTCCACGCGCATGCGTACAAACCATCTATTCCCCTGATAGTCTTTGCCCAAGTGACACTATTGTCAATTTCGACGGGAAAAAAAATCGCGTCCTGGCACAGTCGCAACTTTGGAAGGCTTCCCTTATTTGTATTATGCACGCAAGTCAGCTTGAGCGGATGATACAACGTTTGTTTAATGTCAATGTGAAATACGAAACAAATTAAACTGAACAACTGAAACTAAGCGAGCGAAGCGAACAACCGTTGAAAAACATTATAAGATACCGGGCCCTTTCCTAGATTCTAATATTTTGTTTTCCTCAATTTGACGTTTATTTAAAAAACGTAACAAACAAATGGAACTTTGATTATTTTTTCCACCGAACCCCAAACAATTTTTTCTTCGATTCCACGCTCTCTTTTCTTTTTCAATTTCTTTCTTATTTATTTGTTTGTATATATTTAAACATTGTTTTTATTCTTAACTTTTCTTTTCCTTCTTTTTCTTAAAGGTAATACAAAGTTTCGGTATGGGGTCATGAATTTGGTTCAAATGAACATATTGGAAGCATATGCGATCCTACAATATTCAGTGTTAGTTGTCGCGGTTGAAATCGAGTTTAAAATTATGAATTATAAATAATAAACTCTACATGTTGTATAGCTACCTCTCAAGGTCAATACATTAATTAAGCTATAAAACAATGTTTCTTGACTGAAATCGACCGATTATATTCCCGTTTGGAAATTATATATCACAACTACATATTCTTTAGATTTTCATGGTCGCAGTTACCTTTGTACGGCCGTATGCGCTATTTGAAATTTATCGAAATTTACCGGGAGCACCGGTAAATTTGTATATTCAATTTTTCTCGAAAGCAGAAGTGTTTTAGGAGCTAAAGTTTCTAGTGCTTATAAAACATCCACAGGGGCATCCAAATATATCAAAATTGTAAAGAATCACTATCCTCCCAATTTTCGAAATTTCCCAAAACTTTGTACACTGTTGCTCATAACGGTGGAATATTTGTTGTTATCCCAATTTATGGAATTATTTTAAAAATAATTTAAAAATACTAGATCTAGATAATAGTATACAGTCTCAGATTTTATTGAATAATAATTTGCCAATATGTGTTTTGCGTGACTGCTAAAGCATGTATATTATGCTACTATGTTTATCAACCAGGGGACCTATGCCCTTAAGTCATAAATGACAGTAATGAGGATTAATGCCTCACAAAAGGGCACTAATATAGCACATCGACACGGTGTTGATCCTGGGCCCTCACAGTTACGAGGCCATTGCTTTGTCACTGAACCATGACTGTACGCAGCGGGGGCTAGGGTAGGGAGCAGTTTCCATAAATTTAAAAAAAAAAAAGAAAATGCAATAAATTTTCAATAATTTATTGCATTCTACCCCGGTGCCCAACATAAAAAATCTTCTGTGTGCCCATGCCTTGAGCCATAATGCATGGCCGTCCAGAGTATTTGTTTCTTTCTTTCCATCTTTTCCTTTCTTTCTGTCCTATTCCTTTCTCTTTTCTTGCACTACCTTTTTCTTTTTTCCGATTTCTCCTCCCTTTGTCCTCCATTTTCTCTTTCTCTTTTGTGCCGATAGAGGTGCCATATTTTCCTAAACTTAATTTGGAATCCCCTATACCCTCCCATACCCTTCTTTCTCGCGACCCCCCTGAGAGCGTATCTGGACACCTACCCCCTGGAATTCCACCCCTAGAACAACAACCCCTTTAGGACAACCACCCCAAGGGCAACCAACCTCTAGGACGACTACCCCCAGAACATCTACCCCGGGCAACTACCCCAAACAACTACCTCTAGGACGACTAACCCCTAGTACAACTACTGCATAGGACAACTACCCCGGACAACACCCCCTATGACAACTACCCTACGGGAAACCTACTTCCGGACAACTACCCCAGACAACTACCCCTAGGATAGTTATCCGGGGCAGTTGTCCTAGAGAATGGTTGTCGTAGGGTTAATTGTCTGGGGTAGTTGTGCTGGGAGTAGTCGTCCTAGAGGGTGGTTGCCCTAGTGTGTAGTTGTCTTAGGAGGTAATTGTCCTAGGGGGCAATTGTCCGGGGGTATTTTTCCTAGGGGGTAGTTGTCCTAGGGGTAGTTGTCCTAGGGGGTAGTTGTATGGGGGTAGTTGTGCTGGGGGTAGTCGTCCTATAGGGTGGTTGCCCTAGTGGGTAGTTGACTGGGGGTGGTTATTCGGGGGTGGATGTCCAGGGGGTAGGTGTCCTAGAACCCCGCTGAGAAAACGGGTCATCCCGGTACATCTTGAGCCCACGCGCTTGAAGAGACAGACAGACCACAAGACTGACGAAACAGACTAATACATAAGGAAGATAACAAGCATTTAGGAATTGTGAACTGTATGAGAGGTGGCTATATTAATGTCCTCCAACAGAAAAGCCAGCTGAGTTTTGATAATGATTAGAAGATACTTCCATAACCATACATATTTCTCTATAGCCTCTTAAAAATCATAGAGACATGCAATTTTGCCTATGTGTTATGCGCTATGTAAAAATGTTTAATTATTATTATTATTATAAATACTGGTTTGAAATGATTAGCATAATATAGTCTCTGAAGTGACTGACTGTACTTATTTGTTCCTTTTCTTTGCATCGTCTCTATAGTAATGGCGACGCAAGGAGGTATTGCCGATGGTCTTCTCTTCCAGCTGGCTGAAGACATCGAGACGAGTGAGCAGATGGAGGCCTTAGGACGAACTCTCGGATTCAAGGTCGCAGAAATCAATAGATACATAGAGACCAACAGAATGGAAGGACGGGTGACGTGTAAGGGAACACGTGCCATGCTGTTTGACTGGCGACAGACCATGGAGCCTTGCGACCAGCATCTCAGGATGAAACAAGCTCTCACTGATGCTAAGCTAGTCATGCTTGCTGATACACATCTCAAGGGGACACTAAGTATTAGAGGTAGGGCTATAGTAATAGAGTGCTTACAATCACTTCTTTTAGCTTTAGACTGTTGTAGAACATAATGCAGAGTATTTACATTATCACTGGCGTACCGAGGGTCTAATGGCACTGAATACTGAGTATGGTGATGCCCAGGTCACAATTGCCGCGGCGGCCGTGCGGTCTAAAATATATACGTACAATAGCAATTTTAGGACCGCAGCAGCATTCCCATAGTCACATACGGTAGCGGGAACATCTGTTACGAAAGCCGCACGGCGCATTTTTAATTTGTGGAGACTGAAAATATGCGACTGCCGAACGGCCTTTGAAGTGATGACGCACGGTCGCCTTTGGGCGTCCTGCGGCGGTCGTAGCATGTTTACACATAGTAAGGCAGACGCAAGGTATTCGTTAGATGCCCGCAAGGCGGTCGAAGGAGGACCACACGGCGATCGTGCGGCCAGACTTCACCGCGACATCCCTGTATTATATAAAACGCAAGGCTACCGTACGCCTGACGTACGATTGCCGTGGAACCGTTCTACGGCATGTTTACGGCGTGTCTAATCGCTACGACGAACCTAGAAAGGAAAACAATTATAACTCCGCGTTATAATCCCACGGCGACCCGTACGGCCTGTAAAGATAGGGATACACACTGGGACAACCCCCCCCCCCCCACACACTCAGTGTTGTTTAGGGTATGCATATGCGTGTTCCCTCCTTTTGAAAACACCCCCTAAGTCCGGTGTGTAAAGTCAATTATGTGTATGTACGAGGCCGGACTTTGGTGCGTGAAAAATACCCCTTTACCTGACATTTTGGTAACACGCATGCGGTCATTCCGACCCCGGAGTGGGGGGGGGGGGCGGACGCTAGGGTGCACCCTGAGACCTTCGCAGATTCTCTGCGGCCGCCGGAAGTATCCCTTGATTTCGGGGGCGTACGGTCGCCGTATCATAGCCGTACAGCAAATGTGACCTTGTCTTGAAGGACAGGGTTGTTCAATTCCTTCACGCTCTGTCTCTCTTTAAAAAAAGAGTTTTTGCTGCGCGTTGGGTGAGAGGGCATTTAGATATTACTGTAATTTACCGTTCATAAAGTGACCCTTAGTATAAAGCCGCCTTGCCTGATTTAAATTTATATTTAAGGTACACGTTTATTTTTGGGTTTATCAGTTTAAAGTTGGGCACGTAACATTGATACAAAATTCAAATCATGAGATTTTGCGAGTTGGCCATTAAATTGTTATGAAATTACGGACAACTCTCCAGTTTGTCGTGTGAAAAAACCCACTAATGTCTGCATTTTTTCTCATAGTACGCATCTTATCCCTTCATTTCGACAAATTGCCGTTTAAGTAATTCCGTGTGTTGGAACAAATTGGGAGAGTTATCCGCCACTATATATCACATTAACATGACCGATTCGGCTAATTTTAACTTCTCTTTAAAACGTCATGTATACGTATACCGATTGCAACTTAAACAACCCTCAAAAGGCCCTTATTGTTTGTCCTTTGTCGCCAGCTAGTCTGCTTCTCTATTTTTGTATATGCTTTCTGTCAGAGCAGTTTGCTATAAAGGTTGGATTTTTTTGCCTGTGTTTCCTTGCCTTTACTTCACGGGAAAGCGTAAAAATGTCGGCACAAAGAAACTTGATAACATTTGAAAATAAACAAACTTAACGAACCCTATTTAGTCGAATGGGGGAAGGGGCTGAAATTGTGTGATTGCATTCAGATAATGTGGTCATATATATGCTTTTATCATTACAGATATCCCCAGTGAAAAGATCTCGGAGTCCCTGACTGTTGAGCAATGTCGCGACAAGTTGATAAACAAGTACCTGAATGAATTGTGCAAAATTCAAATGAAGCCATGGGATCAGAATGACTATGCTGAGTTCAAAGATATGCACACGATGGTCACAATGGTAAAGAAGGACGCTCATGGACAAGATATGAAAATGAAGGAAATACTCCAGGGTTCTGTATCTGACATATTTTTAACGAAAGTAAATGGCATACTGCCAGCTCGAATCCTCATTTCGGCCCCGGCTGGACGAGGTAAAACAACGGCTGTTGCTAAGATGGCTTACGACTGGGTTCATAGAGAAAGGGGGTCAGCATTAGAACATCTGCCACTTCTGTTTGTTGTAAAATTCCGAAACACAGGTCAGCTTACATCGATCGGAGAAGCCATCAAAACCCAGCTTTTGAGTGATGTCGATGATCTTACACCAGAGGGTCTGGAGAGTTTCATCAGAAAGAATCAGGACATATGTCACATTATACTAGACGGGCTAGATGAGTATGCCGGTATTTCTTCTTCAAATCAAAGCTTAGTGAGCAACATTGTCAATGTCATCCGCTGGGAGGAGTTTCCAGAGTGTCGAGTTCTCGTAACAACACGCCCTCACCTAGAAAGCTTTTTCAATCAAGCGGAACTTTCAAGGGTATACACAAAGATGTGGATCGAAGGATTCTCTCGAGAGAGCTCTCGAGATTACATCGACAAATTCTTTGCTTTGAGTTTGAATCTTAATAGTGCACATGGTCTGAAGGCTTATCTTGATATCCAACCACTTATTAATGAATTTGTCAAAACACCCCTATTTTGTCTCATGGTCTGTCACTTGTGGAGCAATGGCCTACTTGACAGTGGTACTACTACTCAAACAGAATTGCTGGACAGCGTGAATGTTTTTCTAATGCAATATACAAACGCCCGATCCGAGTCGAGAGTGAAAATCACACCCGAAATGTTAAGGAAAATAATTCTTCAACTAGGCAAAGTTGCTCTAAGTGGTCTGCTCGACGATGCTAAACAGCTAGTCTTTACGGCTCATGATTTCCGTAGAGTTCCCGCACTACTTAATATGGCGTGTGAACTTGGGATAGTATCCAAGACGACTGTTTCATCAACATGCCCTCCTCAGTCAAACGCGACCACTTCCACTACAATTGAGTTTTATCACAAAATCGCACAAGAACACTCGGCTGGAAAATTCCTCGCTGATCAAACGTCCCACTTTCTGTTACATTTCAAGGTTTCTAAGTTAGATAGAGTACTACGCAAGATCAAATCATACATCGGTGACTACGAGAATCTCATCCGATTCGCCGCTGGCACGGACAACAACCTCTGTATTCGTATAATGGAGGTGCTCCTTACAAACAGCTTTTTGAAGGAGAGCGAGCGATATCGCATTCTCATTGACTGTTCATCGGAGACCAAGAGTACAGGAGGAAATGTGTCTTCGTTGGTTCAAAGATGTGTGAATGCAGAGAGTATTGTTCTGAAGTCACCGACTGTCTACACCGTCGTTGGGATGCATAATCTTCCAAAGCAACTTAAACGTGAGGTATGCAAATTTCCATTTGACAAAACGTGTTTACAACAATCATATCATAAAGAATCTTTAAGTTTTCACTTCTCTGTTGTAACTTTAAGTCAAAGACCTATTTTTTTTTAATTCCTAATAAATTGCATCTTGATAAATCATACTGCATAATATATCGATCAATACCCACGATTTATTTTCCTTATTGTTCTATGTTTGCCCAACGACGGCCTCAATCAAGGTACTGCATAACAACAAAAAAGAAAAATTATTTAAAACAAAGTAATAACAATTTTGTTAGAATAGGTCCTAGGGCCTATTAATGCTAAGAGAAAATTACGAGGGACAGTCAATATAAGCATGTAGCGTTCAATATAAGCATGTAGCGTATGTAAAACGTAGGAACTGTATATTCAACATGAAAGCAAACAAATGTATTAGTTATTAATGCAAAACCGTGAAGGGGAGGGAGGAGAGTAGCTTACCGGAGAATATTCTAAGATCAGGCTACAGTCTTGATTGCATTAATGAGATATATAATATAAACTAATTACTGTTATTCTATTCGTACAATCCGTCTTCAATTCTCTTTCTTTTACTCTCTCTTTCTCTCTATCTATCTATCAATCTTAAAACTAGGTTAGGACAGTAAAGTTCGAGGGATCTACTTTAACTGCCGACGTGACGAGTGGACTGTGGGCCTGCCTGGGATCATTTTCGATGATACGTACTCTTACCATCTCAGACTCGTCTCTCAGTTTGCCCTTATGTCTCCCTGAGCTTCCATCCGTCACAAAGCTATCAGCTGAGAGAGTAACGTCACAAAGCTATGAAGGTCTGCTCTCATCGCTCCCTGGCTTGAAAGATATCGATATCAGTATCGATGATGCAGCAACAGACATACCTCAGATCACGGCTGCTCTTCGTCGGACCGGGGGACAAACCAAGAACCTGCAGTCGCTAGGTCTGTCCGGGATGAAGTGCTTGGACGAGGAAGACTTGGTTGAAATTGTCGAGTCGTCAACATATTTGAAAGCATTGGGTACTTTGCATTTACAGTGAGTTGGAGTAGATGTTCATAGATAATTATATGAGTAAAATTAAAGTAGACTAAATTAACAGAAAGTTCAACTGTAAACTATAAAAAGGCGAATAATAGGTTTATTTTTTATGTGCTTTTGTTTCATCAAATTTTATTTAGTTAAAGGTAATACAAAGTTTTGGGAATTTTTGAAAATGGGATGGTGGTGATTCTTTTCAATTTTGATGTATTTGGATTCCCCTGTGGATGTAATATAAGCACAAGAAAATTTAGCCCCTAAAACACTTCTGTTTTCGAGAAAAATTGAATACAAAAATTTACCGGTACTCCCGGTAAATCTTGATAAATTTCAAATAGCGCCTATGGCCGTACAATGGTAGCTGCGACCATGAAAATCTCAGAATATGTAGTTGTGATATATAATTTCTAAACGGGAATAGCTAATCGTTCGATTTTAGTCAAGAAACATTGTTTCATGGCTAAATTAATATCTTGACCTTGAGAGGGAGCTATACAACATAAAGAGTTTATTATTTATAATTTCATAACTTCAGACTCGATTTCAACCGCGACAACGATCACTGAATATTGTAGGGTCGCATATGCTTACAATATGTTCATTTGAACCAAATTCATGACCCCATACCAAATACTTTGTATTACCTTTAATATGTTAATACGTATTACGAACTATCAATTCAAGATCAGTAAAATAAACATAATACAAAAACTGCTGGAAATTAAGGATAGATTTAAAATTAGTTAAATGAAAGAAGAGGGGGGAGGGGGATGGGATTGTTAAATGTTATGTTGAAAATGTAATTATTTTGTCTGTATTTATATATTTATATTTGTAGGAACATGTATAGCACCTTTAAATGTCCAAAGGAAAAATGTATGTATTTTTTACATGACAATAAATGATCTTGAATCTTGAATACTATTTCAATAAAAATCAACACGATAATTTCCCATGGGAATCCTCTACTCCGCCCCAGCCAATCAAGGGCTTCTTGCGTGAGTGCAGTGTCGTGGGGGTCTTGGGATATCATTATTGATTTATTTTCTTATATCCCTAATAATTTGCATTCCATACTGACAATGTAAAAATGTGCACACTTTTAGGCATTTGTTTGTCTTTCAATTCGCATTTCTAATGGTACTACTCACAACGTATGCCATTGTTCGTCATGCCATATTTGTTAAAGGTAATACAAAGTTTTGGGAAATTTTGAAATATGCATGGATAGTGAATATTTACAGTTTTTATATATTTGGATGCCTCTGTGGATTTTTTTATAAACACTAGAAAATTTAGCCCCTAAAACACTTCTGATTTTGAGAAAAATTGAATAAAAAAAATTACCGGTGCTTCCGGTAAATTTTGATAAATTTTAAATAGCGCCTATACGGCTGTACAATAATAGCTGCGACCATGAAAATCTCAGAATATGTAGTTGTGATATATAATTTCCAAACGGGAATAGGTAATCGATCGATTTTAGTCAAGAAACATTGTTTATAGCTTAATTAATATCTTGAGAGGGAGCTATACAAGATAAAGAGTTTTTTGTTTACAATTTCATAACTTTAGACTCGATTTCGATCACTGAATATTGAAGGATCGCATATGCTTACAATATGTTAATTTGAACCAAATTCATGACCCCATACCAGAACTTTGTATTACCTTTAAGGTCTTAATGATATCTCTAAAAATGAATATATGTATTCAACCCACTAGACCTTTTGCAATTTAGAATAATACGGTACTCACATGCGTAGTCCGATATCAATATTTTGTCATGAATCCCCAAAACATTCCCATTATTGTTGTTGTATTTTTGTATCGCTCTCAACTCTTTTTTCAAAAACTTGAGGTCTCTTGATGGTGGATGTTTCGAATACGATCGAAATTTGGGTGTCCAGGTAAGCATATATCTTAAACTAATACGTTACGACTACTAATATTTAGGAGAGCAATTTAATATTTGCGCCTGACGGGAAAACGCAAATAAAACTTTTTTTTTCAGGTAATAAAATCAAAGATAGCTCTTACAGATACAGAGGTATGATTGGGCCAAAGCTTGTCACTTGATATCCATGGCGAAGGTTGTAATTAGCATATTTCTCTTCCGGTCAGTTGTCGATGGTTAGATTGAACTGTTTGAATAGTCAAATTAGCATGCTTTTGCGTAAAAGCCTACCCTATCCGAACAACGCTGTGCGTACCTATTGTTGGCAATGTCATAGCAGCGCGCATTTGACACGATGACTGGATAGACGGCTCGAGAAAATAAAGCACAAGGCATGAGATAACAATTACCAAAAGTTTCAATCAAGACTATATCATATAGTATATACTAAATGGATTAAATGAATATTTTTTTTTTCTTGACAGGTAAGTTATATTTTACCTCGTTATCATTTTCGTGATAGCGCTGCGCGCCCTACCAGTAAATATAAGTTATGTACACTGTGATTATCATGTAATGTCCAACGATAAACATTAATTCAAGGGGAAGGGGTCTCATTATGTACCCGGTTTCGCAAAACATCATTATCGTGGCGTAACAATCTAGTCTAGTCTCTCTGTATTTCGTTATCCGTCATTCAGGTAATGAAATGTTGGCTATCTACTGAAATGACTGCCAGGATTTGGTCCGGTCTTAGATCCTTCACCTCTCTGAACCAGCTCACCATCTCAGACTCCTCTCTCAGTTTCCCTCCATCTACCCCTGAGCTTCCATCCGTCACAAAGCTATCATCCGAGAGTGTGACGTCACAAAGCTATGAAGGTTTGCTCTCATCGCTCCCTGGCTTGACAAATATCGATATAACTATCGATGATGCAGAGAGAGACATACCTCAAATCACGGCTGGTCTTCGTCGGATCGGAAGACAGCAGCTCACACACATCAAAATTACAACCCCGACATCATTCCTATCGATATCGGGGAAGAAGAGTGTATCGAGAGCGACGTTTAGAGGATTAGGTCTTCTGATCAGAACACAAACAAAGAACCTGCAACAGCTACATCTGAGCTGGGTGAAGTGTACAGATGAGGAAGACTTGGTTCACCTCATTAAGTGCTGCAGACATGTGAAAACGTTGAAAGAAATGTGGTAGGTTCTCGGTCAACTCTTTTACAAAAAAGATTACAATTCTATTAGATGATTCCATTCAGTTAGTTTGCGTTAGTAAAGCATAATGATACCAATGCGTATAAAATGGATGCAAAGGTTAAAACATGGGCGTAACCTTATAAAATTAGGATGGTTTTAGTTTTATTATCGGTCCATATTGTTATTTTTTAATTTTCAATGTACAATCGCAATAAGTAGAATTTGAAAACCTGTATTGAAGATACAAAATGTTAATATACAATTGCATGTTTATTATGTACCATCCATTTAAAAAATATTCAAAAAAAGTCCTTTTCTTAAACAAATTAATAATCATTATCATAAATTGCATAAGTATTGTTATTATTATTTTTATGATTGCCACTTCTATCATCATTATAATCGTTATTAGTACCACTACTATCATTAACATATTTTATTATTGCGTTTAATTACTACTATTAATATTATAATAATGTTATTTTGTCACTTTCTTATTAGTTATCCTCAGTATCATTATTTCGAAATGCATGTGTTTTTTTAAGCAGAATGTCGAACATTTTAGTAATTCTTTAAAAAATTGGAACTTACTGTTTTTTGTTTTTTGTTTGTTTCGTGCTGTGCAATGAACCGTTAAAAGCAAACTTCCATTTTTGTAATATAAATATTCTACATCATTTTTCGGGTGCATCGTCTACAAAACACCAAGTTCCATGATGTGGCAGGTATACACCCCCCCCCCCCTCCTTACTTCCATCGTCAGCTCTAACCCTTCGACTCAGAATGTGTGCATTTTCAAAGCTTTAACAATACCAAGCTAGGGAAAGTAACTAGTTTTCCCGGTGTTTTCATCTAAAGTGAAAAGGAGTAACTTCTCGTACCAGAAAATAGTTATTTATCAGAGATGAAAAGGGGCATTTATGAGAAGGGGAAGGGTTATTTTTTAAATTTGGGCACATATCATAAAGAAAAGGGGCACTTATTAGAAAAGAAAAGGGACACATATGCAAATTATTAAAAGGTGCGCTTATAAGATTGGTAGTTATTAAAATAGGAAGGGACACTTCTTACAAAGAAAAGGGGCACATGTCAAAGTAAAATGGGCATCTTTCATATTTGAATAGAACAATTGTCACATGTGAAGGGGCACTTATCAAAAGTGAAAAAGGGGCACTTCTCATACCTGAACAGGGCACATACTAGAGATTAAAGAAGGCACTTAAGATAATGGGAAACGGACACTTTTTGCAAAGAAAATGGGAACCTGTCGAAGAAAAAGGGGCACGTCAACATAAAAGGGGCACTTATCGTAGGTAAAAAGGAGGGAAGGGGCTCTTGTCAAGGTAAAAGGGTCAATTTTTCAATGTAAAAAGGGACGCTTGTTACAAAGTTAAAAAGGGGCACTTTCGTGGTACTTGAAACAGTGGTGGGGGCACTGTGCACCCCTATCTCCCGGGAGCACCGCCTCTGTATGTATTCCTCTCTCTCTACTTATTTCTCCTTACTCTAACACCCAACTTACCGAATGCCTCCATCACTGTTTTCTGAACATAGGTTACACAAATGTGGAACTAGAAAAAGCGGCAGACTGAACTCTCATCTCACAGGTCTTCACACATCACATGACGACGGCCTCTCTGTTTGGGTTAACCATGTAAGTATTGCTCCGTGTGGTGTCCACTGTACATTTTAACTTTTTTTCATTTTTATTTTCATATCAACTAATCTGATGCTAACATTGTTTTGTATTATCGTTTTTAATATAACATTTCTAAATTTATTTCAATCTTTAAGCCCTTCTTGTATGTTAACATTTTCTTTTTGTTAGTTCTTTTCTTCTGCCTAAACTTATCCTTCTGCCTCAAATGTTGTTCAGACTATTACTTTATATTGCGAGTTATCGTATTCGAATATCTTGTCTCTCTCCCTCGTCTATGTCCCAGTTGTTGTTGATTGGTATCCCATTTCCTAGACACCATATGGTCAACAGAACATAAAAACGTTGCTAAATAACATTAATCATTTTTAATAATTATCTACCATGTGTTCATATTACGTCTACACATGTAGTTCACTTCCGTTTCTTCTGTCTGGATTTGCACTTCAATATATTTTTTTTTAAATATTATCAAATATTTTGTTGAATCAGGTTCATAGTACGGCAATTTCGTTCGTAGTACATCCATCTCGTTTTAAAGACGTTGTCACTCCGTCTAATTGCTGTTCTAGGGCACCCTTTCTGTCCAACCCAGTCTGAACCCGTTCATGATGGTCTTAAACAGATCGTAAACAGTTGCTACTACGTACACTCCGTTCGCACACAGTTTCAGGGCTTCAGTTTTGATGAGACAGTGTCCATCTTCCTTTCGAGGGCTCTCATGCCTCCGGGTTATAGTGTTGAATTTCACTTTTGTGAGCCCTGGCCCACACGTTGCTCCCTCCCTTTTCCTCTTGTATTGTTTATGTATTGCATGATCTGTCAAAATGTATTTGTATTGTGCTTTTATGATTGGCCTAATAAATAAACAATAATAATAATTATAATAATTCGTCGCTGTTTTCACGAACTGACGGTAGTGAAAAATATTGCATTCACTTTGCGTGACGATTTTCCTCACTACCGTCACTTCGTGAAAATAGGGACGATTATTGTCCGTGATAAGTCCCCCTTTTTCCCCCTGTCGCTAACAAAGTAGACCCTTCTGTGGTCGATTCTAAAGAATTATATTATTTTGTTTAAACACCTTTGTGTATCGTAACAGGTACCATATATCTACCATCATAGTAAAAGGCAGAGGAACTGGGTCAATGCCCACAATTTATGATAACGAACTATTTTCAGAAATATAACCGCGCGCGTTTCAAACGCTATCAAATGTCCTTTCTCCGGATAAGTCATTTTAATAAGAGTGCCCTTTAAAAACTCTCTGTTGGTCCCAAAAAACTACCATGGCATATTCTACTTACATGCTAAAAAGGCGTCTTTAAACCTATCTTTCATTATAAACTATTCCCTTTTGAACTTCATAGACTATCAATGTAATCAACTGCCCTATGTTTAAGCATATAAAAGCTTAGACAATGAAGGAGTTTTCAAACTCATGGTAATTGCATTTCCAATTACTAATGTCCTTCATATTATAATTTTTTGTGTGTAAACTACCATACGTGCCATGAAAAGCTCTTTTTATCACCCCTCATCTCCAACGAAACAATACATTTCTCATAGCCTCTCTAACACGTGACCCTCATTTAAAACGACTTGGAGCTTCTTCTTTTTTATCGGGACTTTCCTCAGCACTCTCACTATGAACATGACGGACAAAGAAAGCGGACAGAATATACAGTTCATCAGGTAGATAAAGGAACATCCCTTAACTGCTATTATGTACAAAGGTTAATATGCATGTGACACCTGTTCTACACATTTTTACATAATAGCAGTGAAGGGATGTTCCTTTGTCTACATGAGGAACTGTATATTTTGTCCGCTTTCTTTGTCAGTCATGTTCATAGTCATGTGTCTCTTTTTCGTCTCTCATTACGTACATGTAATATATAGGTCTTATCAATTTTTTATGGCCCCCCCCCCCCCCCCCCCTTTGAAGGACGCTCCGCCGCTCTTGCTTTCCTTCATACCAGTTTTCAAATTTTCCTTTACTTGTTCATATTTTAAAAATTACATTATACTTCTTTTATCTCTTCTGTCTTGTATGTCCGTCCGGGGCCTCTTCTTTTCATGATACATGTTTATGTTGTCCGAGTGTCCTCGATTCTGTTAAAACTGAACAAGTTGTATTATTTCTTTTTTCTTAATCATTGTAACATAAACGTTCTTGTTAAGTATTTAGCAATAAACAAATTTATTCGGTAGGTAAATCAGTGGCGTAGCTAATTCGGGCAAGTGGGGGTCCAAAATGAATGAGAGAGAGAGACAGAGAGAGATGGAGGAGGAATTAAAAGAGAGAGAGAGAGAGAGAGAGAGAAAGCGAGAGAAGGCGAAAATGTATATGAGGATGCCTTTGTTAAGAGGGAAGTCACCCCTGTTATTTAATTGGTTTTAAAAGACAAAAGACACATGAGGCAAACAAGTCAGTGCAAAACACGATGAAAACTAAGAAAATATAAGTTTTGTTTTTTTATAGTGGAATCAAACAAACACGTATTGGCAACTCTGTGCCTTATTTTGCGAGCTCCCCTCACATTTGCCCTGTATTTAAAAAAATCCAATATCAGTTATAATAATACTGCAATAATATTAAAAATTGCTTCTTGGATAGCGCTCATAGCTGTCAAACTTGACACTCCTGGTGCCCCAAAATTCTATATTTCCCAATCATCAAATGTCCAATCATACATTCACCCTAAATATAAGTGTTGCAAATATGGTGTTATACAACCCGAGACTGAAACAAATCTGTTCCGTCATAAATAACTAAACAAATGAAAGTTTATGACATTTTTCTGTACAGAGCAAATTGGCGAGGAGCTCGCGAGATATGTCACAGTGTTGCAAATGTATGTTTCACTGATGACAACTTAACAAATTCATACCTTTCCTATTTTTGCTCAAATTTTCACTTATTTGTTTTCCTCAATTTCCTGATTTTATTTAAACCAACTTAATATCAGGATGGTCTTCCTTTTAATTTGCATTTCATCCACCCAGTTATACTGGTGCGAGTCCAATGAAGCCATTATTTGTGCCTAGTCCCATGCGATGCTACCCGAAGTAGGTCCCTGTGTTTCCCTATGATGAAAGTTTAAAATAAAACATAGATCTGTGTTCATTACCGCATATTGCTCCGTTTAGTCTCATCTCACAACGCCTTCTATCGTCAGAGCATGGTCAGAGTCAGCAGCCTAACATGTTAGCATTTGGACGTTTTTTTTTTAAATCGTTAAAAATTTATTTTTTGTTTAAACGAAAAGCACATCCACCCCGACGTACGTTAACACTCGCTCTTTCATTGGAGCCCTCATGTCTCATTGACTTTTGAAAGTTCACCCACCGTAGTTTTTCAAAATAGGTTGCAAGCTCGTCATTGCCTATAATACACATGTGAAACAAGTATCACGTTGGACTCAGTTTGTCAAGCGATTTGAAGATTATAGGTCGAGCACACGAAACATGAAAAGCATGAATTATCATGGATCACTTCTGCCTATTTCATTATGTCCATTTCATCCAACCCCCCACCGTAATTTTTCAATTTAGTAAAAGCAAACATTTAGCCGAGGTAAGCAAAAACATGAATATTCATGACACACCATGGACTATTCGGTTATTAACAGAGGGGTGCAATCGGTCATCACGTCAAACTCCCCTAATTGCCACCAAGTATTTCATATAACTATATAGTTTGGTATGTTTCTTTTACTCACTCATGAATTATTAAATATCAATGATGGTTTAAAGAAATGTAAACGAAATGTTAGTTGATATTTATTAACAAAGTAATTTATATTTAGCAAAGCAATCTCACATACAAAATTACTATCAGGTGTCGTCTGCTACGCCGATTGTCGCCTGCTTTGTTAAAGGCACATATTTATCGTTTGTACTGTAAGGTATACCAGGGAGATTTGTATTTTCCTGCAGTACAACGTATAGCAGGAAAATGTTGTATATTCGGATCCTTTTAATGATTACATCATGGAAGTGGCGAGGCGGTATGGTTTGAATAACTTAGGCAGGTGAAAGTTATTGTATTGAGAAGGAAAGGAATGTTCAGAAAGGCATAGAGAGGGAAGTGGGCGTGGTAGCCATTCTAGCTTTGCACCTACATCAGTACGAGAATACACCCGACGGCGCGGTGGCCTGTACTTATAGCGCGCGAACACATCACACTCAATGGCATACACTCGGTACCCTGCAACACAGTGGAACATTCTAAGAAATTAAAAAATTAACTACAAACTGGACCTCTTGAATCATCTGAGAAGTAACTTACCCTATTCTGATGACTTCAATGAATGTCAAGATAACAATGGCTGCTTTTCCATCCAAAAATAAAACTAGTTTGCAATTTGAAATAGTCAATTTCTCGATAATTTCACAAAATATATTTGCCGCCGCATTCAATATGACGTCATTGACAGCTGATTGGCTAGTTTGGTAGTGACGTCGAACAAGCTATGTTTGTGCTGCAGTGATCGAGCGAGCGAAAATGAGACAATCGGAGCAATATGGTTATCATAATGAAATAAGGGATTTTAAAATATTCATTTGATAATAATTTTTGTTATATTATTATTTATATTTGTGATTTTTTTCTTCTTTTTCTTCAGAATCATATTATTATGGTTTATTTTGGTATGCCGAAATTGTATGTTGATCTTATCATAATATCATTTGTCTTCTTCTACAGGATAATGGAGGGGGACGGACGTGTGTTCTCTCACATTTCTCACATTAGTTGAGTTCCATTGATGTCTACACACTACCGGTCAAGCTGACATGGACCATGCCTTATTCCCGACATACACCACTATGCTCGTTGAAGGACTTCATACGTCATTTTGTTTACATTGGTTAAGTTACACTGATGACTAGGCACTACACGGTCACGCGGATATACGTCATTATGTTCAAGGAGATGACTGTTACTGCACAATCGGAAAAATAGATCTCTTTTGCGCAGTCTTATGAATGAAAAAAAGGTTTGGCTATTTAAGCAATAACACACATTATAAAGTGTCTCCTGAAACTGTTTGAATGTTTTGGTTATATTGTTTATTTCTACAAAGTCATAAACCCTAAACAACTTTATCTTCTTGTAAAGATTTGAATGTGTTTTGCAAGTCATTATATTATAATTTGGGCAGCAGAAAAAGATTATGTTAAAAACACTGAGATAGCAAAAACTTTCAAAATCTAATATTTAAGTTCGTATTAAACTTTTTGCCTTACATCTTATGTTATTTTTAGTGCACATTTAGATTCCTCATGTAAATTCGCATCACAGGATGCATACGTAAGGAGATAAAGGCTCTTCAACGTAAAGGTCCATCACATAAGCTAACTGCATCATGCAACGCAAACGGGGTTAACTCATCGCACCAAATCCAAGAGACTTAGATAAAAATATTTGTTCAAGTTTTAATTCATCAAACGGTTATATATTTCACGAGCGTTTCCTAGTAGCTCTTTCCCTTAAACTCTCAAGTTCTTTTTGCATAAAAAAGATATAGAAACAATTATGTCAAATATGATGAATGTTCTCGCGAAATTAGGTGTTATGAAAATCAATTATGCATTAAACACAAAGATATGATTGTGGAACAAAATGTGATTTATAAATCATCGATAATATAGGCGCATCGGAGCTACTTCCGGAAAACTACAGTTTCAGAAAACCTTTAGGGAAATGTCTCTCGAGGTAATAAATATTTGTGCTACAAACAGTAAGAATATTCGAGCCGCCTTAGCTCACCTCTCATTTCGCCGCCTGTGTAATAATATTAAAAAAAGGGAACAAATAACAAAACGAACGATTAGCCAAAATGTAATAACTAAAATAATGTTCATTGCGTTCAAATGTGCTTTTGGAAATAGAACTTGCAACAGAGTTATCTACAACGAAGCGCATTGGTAAAATAAGAATGCTATAATAACGAAAAGTGAAGTTGATATCCACAGGAATACCGAGCAAAGCTATTTCCCTTCTTTTCCTTTTGTAAAAGTGATGGAACGTACCCCACCTTCACAGTGTGTTTATGAAAAGGAAAGTAGAACTGAAGCGGAATCGACTTTCAAACCCATACTTATGTCATTATCATTTATTATGATTGTTAGACTTGTACCATCATAGAAACGTTGGTAATAATGGTAGTCGCAGTAATAAAAGAAGTAAAAAAGAATGAATAATACCTATGATAATGATTATGATAATAATAATGAAAAGAAGAAGAAGGAGAAGAAGAAGAAGGAGAAGAAGAAGAAAAGGGAAGAAAGAATAAAGTGTGTAGCAGCGGTAGTAATGAAATGTCTCACTTACATAGAAAGATTAATTGTTCTATTTATGAATAGCTAAGTGCAATATTTCAGTTGCTTTGTCTACTTTTGTTTATAGTTCTTGCCAAGTAGGATACTCCTCGAATGGAAAAAATGTTTGTTTTACCTTATATTATAGTCATTCATGTATTCTCATATTTCTATAAGTATGGAACTTACTGCCAGTACTCAAAACCCGCCCCCCCCCCCCCACTCAGTGTTATTTAGGGTACGCATATGCGTGTTCCAACCGACCCCCCCCCCTTTTCAGCAAAAGTCCGGTGTGTAAAGTCAATACGGCTCCACCTTTTTCTTTTGTATACGAGCCTTTTTCAGCACCCCCCCCCCCCCCCTTTCAGCAAAAGTCCGGTGTGTATCAATACGGGTCGACCTTTTTCTTTTGTTACGAAAAGGACATTTTGGCAACACGCATGCGGTCATTTCGGAACCTGAGTGGGGGGGGGGGGGCGGGACTCAAAATCTCTTTTAAACTTTGGGCAATTCAGCAACACTTGTTGCCTTACTGATGTACATTAGATATATGATTGTTAGATACATTTGTAATATAGGTGTATATTTAACGAATGTGTATTTTACATGACTCTATAATAAAAAAATGAACAATTATATTGTTGCGAGTTTCATGCTGATATTATTAAACTGTTTATTATCGTTTATTATATGTTTGACAAGTTCACATATTTTGGGAAGGCATCTTAATTCTCCATGTTAATGGACAGTTTAATGAGCGGTACAACAAGTACGATGGACAGTTTATATGTAATCGATATAATTGTCACAACTTTATTGTGGATTGCGTCAATAATAGAGTATTTTTTATATTTATGAAATACATCCTTAAAGAGTTTAGGAATGCATACAATTTTTACTTTTCGTTTTTTTAAATAATTTTGGATAACTGCATTGTAAAAACGTTTATGCTTCTGTATAAATTATCAAAAATAAAACAAATTCTTGTTTCTCACTCCATGCCTTGTATGTGTTTAATTAGTTTTAGAGACGAATGCAAGAAAGAATGATAACTTTGTTTTCATGGATATGTAGCTGAAACCAACACTAGGGGAAACTGTAGGGAATACAAATCCAGCAGGTAAATTTCCTCTCTAATCTAAAGGAGCGGAAATTGGAATGGATTGAATCTCCTTTATTGAATTGAAACGATTTGATAACAAAATAAATTGAATAAAAAAAATATATAAAAAAACATGCAAAGTCAAAGAATACAATTTTTGTAATAAAAGTCACTCTTCTAGTAATTATATTAGGCTTAACTTCGTTTTCGAAAGGAAATCCACGATCAAAATGGTGGAACCCATTCTCAAGAAAAGAAATGCAATGCATTGGATTCCGCTATAATAAGAGTGGATTCAAGTCCAAAACGACGCTGTCCCTCATATGACTCATAACAATTCACCCATTATATATCATCGGTACCCGTATCCGGACATCCACCCCCTCCCCGGATAACCACCCCCAGTCAACTACCCCCTAGGACAACTACCCCCTCGGACAACTACCCCTTAGGACAACTACCCCAGATAACTACCCCCGGGGACAATTTCCCCCTAGGATAGTTGTACGGGTGTAGTTGCCCTAGAAGATGGTTGTCGTAGGGGGTAGTTGTCCGGGGGGTATTTGTCCTAGGTGGTAGTTGTCCGAGGGGGTAGTTATCCGGGGGGTATTTTTTTGTTGTCCTAGGTGGTAGTTGTCCTAGGGGTAGTTGACTTGGAGGATGGTTATCTGGGAGATGGATGTCCAGGGGGTAGGTGTCCTAGAACCATCGGTACCACATTGAGTCTCATCAACTCACGTTACTAAAGCATTTTTCGACCCTAGAAGAGGGGAGAAGAGCAGGTATGGTGATATCATTCAGCCACGGTGCCCAACGATACATCTATACTATGGTAACGTGAGTACCATGATTCTATCTTTAACTTGCATAATATAAACATCTGTATGGGGATAATGAAACCTATCATAATTATAACTCAACATCAAAATGATAACAAGGGCCATGCACGTCGTAAATACAGGTGACGCATGCACGTGGGTTTACACATCCACGATAAGCTTAATCTACTGATAATTGGGTGCCTGATATAAACAATTAAGGCCTATTACATCCTAGCACATACATGAATACATGGGTCTACACTATGACACTAGTATCCTGTATGAGGATCGCCATATAGATGAAGTAGAATGCTTCATTTATTATTCACACGAATACGGTACACATATTACTCATTCGACGGTTCTAATATGATATTAAGTTTATTGTTTGTGTGCGGTGTAACAACGAATTTAAACAAAGAACAAAGATAAGGCTGGGAACAAATGGTTCTTAAACAGTGGTGGTTAAAGGATACAAATGTTATACAAACAAATGTGCAGGCGTCCTGAAAAGGGGGAATGGAACAAATATTGCACAGACATAAAGATACAATGCTAATAGTAAACATGGTATTTGTTATAACTCTACGACATTTAAGACTCACATGTATGATATCTATACAAAATGATATAATTATGACATTTAGTTATCAGGTAATGGCAGGTGATCAGTCTAGTACTAGAAATTGGGATAAAAGCAAACATGAATGTTATCACAGACGTCCAAACAATTGATGACTCTTTCATTATGAAGGGATAAGTTGTTCTAGCGCCACCTTGTGACTGCTTTAGTAATAAACCACATGAAAAACTGAGCAGTCGAAACCCAGAAGCCAACGTTTAACTCGTTTATTTCTTATCTTTCCTAAGATATCACAGATACTACAATTCGAAAGTGGTGGACGATTCTCCCGTTTGTTACAAAAATACGAACATTTCATTTTTTTTTTCTAAAATTGGATTACTCGGAGGAATATTTTCTTTTCAGAGGACATTTAACAATAGGCTTTCTATGATGAATTTTGAATATTCACCAAAGGGAGAGGGCATACGGGAGAAAAATGAATGAAGTTATATTTTGTACACGACAAACGGGACAGCTGTCCTTTATTACGGCACAATCCACTGGCAAAAGTATCAACTTGAGAATCGCAAATATCATGTTTCAAACTTATTTTAAACTTATTTTAAACTTTTGCCTCTCAATCAATGAGCAAACGTTAAGGATGATAACGTTGTATTGATAGATTAGCCCCAACTTCTGATAAAACCTTGGACCCTCCATGGTATTACTAACATCCTTCTTGCAAATAGCTGAGGGTAAGGAGCATACAAAATGCATATTTAAATGTAATGCACAAAATTTTGTTAAGTGCCTCTTTGCAAAATATATTATTCACCAGTTACGAATAATTTTATTTCAATATATGCGAATCGCATACATTAGTTGTTGCTGGGTAGCACAATTATTATTATACCTTGGAAATATACCTTGGAAGTAGGCATTTAAAGTTAAACACTTATTTGCCTCTCGTTGACATTCGGCTGAAGAAGCCATATTTAGACACATGTTTAGTGGCGCTATACAGCAATTGACGAACATGGACAAGCGAAGGACTCCTCTGGGTCAAATTTATCTTTTCTTGACGATCAAAATTTCAACAAATTGGATTTAAAGCTGTTTAGTGACTTGCTCTCCACAACTACAGAGGAGAGGTTGTTCCATTTATTGATACATCTCTGTGAAAATGATCCGTGTCTAAGCTTCAAGTAGACTTTCTTCTTAACGATCTTGTATCGATGGCCACGGGTTCTATCATCAGTTGGATGGTCAAAGAAGTGTGCTAGATCAAGTTCATCTAGGCCATGCATTATTTTGTATATCTGTATCATGTCTGCTCTATGGCGTCTGTAGGCAACAGATGGTAAGTTGAGATGTTTTAGTCTCTTCTCGTAACTCAAGTGTCGTAGCATGTGTATTTGGCGAGTTGCTCTACGCTGTACCTTTTCTATTTTCATGCTGTCTTTTTTTCAATACAGGATGCCACACCGTTGAGCAGTACTCGAGTCTTGGTCTTATAATTGATTTGTATCAGGGGCGGCCGAGCGACTTTCAAAGTGGGGGGGGGGGGGGGGCACCAACAAAAAAAAGGGCACTTTCTGGAAAAGGGGCACCTACAGTGGGAAATCTCAAAGCGAAAATATGCAATTTTTAGACATTGGTATATACCCCTACATTGTGATTACATTATTAGGGATGATTTCAATATTTGTTTCTCTTCATACATCATACAAGATATCGCTTAAGCATCAAACTTTACAGTTGGATGTGATGTCTGAATATGCATTTACGAGTGAGCGAGGCGAGCGAGAAAATTTTTAAAGATATGTGAGGTCGCAGTGCGAAAAATTACATCTTATAAAGAGGAAAAAAGCCAATCGTGATGGGGTTATAAGCACATTCTCATAACGGAAGACTGAAAAGACCTTTGATAAGTAACATAATTATATAATCTTTGAATGCGAGCGAGCGCAGCGAGCGAACTTTGGGGGAAACTGCTCTTAGTCGCTTTAAATAAGGGGCACGTTTAATGATTACATGAAAAGGGGACAATTATCGAAAGGGATAAGACACTTATTAGAAAAGAAAAGGAGCACGTGTATAAGTACAAAGGATAATTATAAGAGGTGAAAATGAGGCATTTTTTCACTTGAAAAGAGGCACTCACCAGTGATGAAAAGGAGGCGTTTACGAAAATGGGAAATAGGCATTTGTTGACGGAAAAGGGGCACCCATCAAATTTTAATAGGGTCATTTATAAGAGGTGAAAAGGGGATAGGTCCCTTATTAAAAAGGAAAAGGGGCACGTATCATTATTAAAAGGGGAATTATCAGAGTTGCAAAGGGGCACTGACCAAATATGAAAAGGGGCACTTATGAAAATGTAAAAGGGGCACTTATAATAAAGGAAAA